GCGGCGGCGTCCTCCTCCCTTTGTCCGCGCCGCCTCGGGGTGCCCCCGGGCGCTCTTTCCCTCCCCCCCCTCCATTTATTTATTTATTCATTCTGCTTTCGATCCCCCCTCCTCCCCAGCTGTCTCATTACCCCTGCGGGCTTTTTTCTTCCCCAGCGGTTATTTTCACCCTCCCATCCCCCCACCTTGCGTTAACTTTTTTTCGCGATAACAGTTTGCAGCAATTACCCACTTGCTGGCGGCCCTCCAGCACATCTACGGAGCACGCTTCTCTCCCAGGCTATTTTTGCCCTTTTTCTCTCGCCTTCCCACCCCTCCCTGCTGTATTTTTTCTGGCTGCCGTGCGCTAACCTCAAGTGAAGAGGCTGGTACAGGCAATGCTACATCTGATGCTAATGGGCCTACCTGGTGGGTAATACCGCTGGCTGCTTCTTCCTTTTTCCCCCCTCGTTTTCCTTTTATTTTGTTGATCCTTGGTATGCTGAAATCAAAGTTGTGATTGGGGCTTGGAAGAAAAACGCGGGGACTGCACAGGGCAGGTTACCGAGCTCAGCTTGGTGCGAAGGGGCGATAATTCTGGGTTCGTCTCAGGGTAACTTGGATCCAAAATTCACCCACTGGCTTTAAGATAATGAATGCCCATCTCTGACTGATACTGTAACAGGCGGCACGTGGGAGGACTTGCAAGGTTTCCATATAAGAACATGGGAGAATTTATTTCACACAGGCGAAGAAATGTGCAGAGTATGTGTTATTTATGAAACAGAAGGCAAGCTGTGTTTTCCTTAGGCAGCTCCGAGAGTGGCAAAACTTTGTATTTAGAAATTGTAAAAGCTGATTTCTGCTGTTTAATAAGAGCTACGTTTAAAGGAAGGCACCGACGAAAAAAGTAGTGGGACACGATCCAGATAAACACGAAGAAATACAACCCCACACATATTCCAGCACGGTTTGTGCCAAGGTGTAAAGATGGAGTTTTTTGGTTAGTTCCCTTTTTTTTAACCGTATTGGGAAAGGCATTAAGAAAATGTGCCGAGAGGAGCTGGTTACGTTGATAGTGCTATTCTGGTAACTGCAATTTTTTTTTTTATTGCTTGCATGTCAAAATGTTTCGAGTTTTGGACTAGCAAAAACGTGAGGCAGCCCTGATCGGGGGATGTGTCATCGGCTGTGTGATTCAGGGCTCGGATGACAGTTGCTACCGGTTTAGATTTTATGGCTTTGGGTTTGAGGATAAATCAGCCCATTAAAACCTGCTGCTGTGGAATTTGGAGGGGAGAGGCTTTGGTGAAAACCCTGACGGTTTTTGACAGCCGGGTGTTTACCTCCGGCTCTGCATTTGGGCGAGCTGACTGCTTTTTGGCATTGCCTACCTTTGCTCGAGTATTATGGAAAGATTTCCCTGAAGGGTGTTGGGTCTTTTTAAAGCAAAATGTGTGCGCAGTCGAGGCAGCCAGCAGCGTGATGGTGTCCCTTGCCTGGAGTAAGTCGAGGCTGAAGCACAAGTGTGGCGGGAGGATGTCTTTGTTGCCCTGGTTAGACTGACACTGGAAACTTTATTTTTGGCACCTTCAGAGATAGCATCTTCGTGTTTCCTCTTCAACTGTCTCTTCTCTGCTTTGCATATTTTTTTTTTCCCCTCTTCTCTTTATTTGCCTGCACCTCACCTTCTCTGTTCCTTCCCCTTCCCACCTCTCTCACGGTTTGGGCTGCTTTGAGGCTGCACCCACTGGAGGGCGACAGACACCTTTCCCTCTCCGTGGGGTCCCAGTGCTGCCCCGCGGGTGGGGCGGGACCCAGACCCCCAGCCAGCAGGCGGGCCGAGAGAGGAAAGGCCGCTTCTTGCTTTAATTTATTGACCTGCTTCTTCTACCGTGCGGTGTTAGGGTTATTTTCTGTCATACTTTGCATAAAGCAGGAGATTGCAGATGGCACTGTGGTATTTGGAGGTACCGAGAAGGTGGTTGCATGCTTGGGGGTGCTAGATCAAAATCCTGGGGTTTTTTGTTTGTTTGTTTAGGGATATTAGTCTAGAATCCAGTAGAAATTTGGAATGCTTCAAATGCTACCCATTTGTATTTTATTTTAGTTTCCTGTAACCAGGAGCAAAATTTGTCATGCTACTCTTTGTTGGTAGTCACTAATTTGTAGCTTTTGGGTGGGTTGCCTGGAGGTTTTTTTAAATGCCAGAGGTGAAATGTTTGGGCTGTGGCAGGAGGCTTCAGTCTGTGTGAAATGCCCTATGAAAAGAGGTGCAACATTGTCATGGAAAAAACATGAAGACACTTTAGATTGGCTTACTCTTGCTGCAGGGTGCTTGGGACACCTCCCGTGCCTGAGCGCAGCAGTCCTGTTTGAGCAGCCTCGGGGAGGATCTTGTCTTACAGCTAATTGTTGCAAATATTTCAATGAGTTTTCCTTAAATCGATACTCTGCCTAACCAAGACTGAGCTACATCTCAGTGGCAGCTAGCCAAGTCCTGTGGGCTGGGTGTTTCCAAAGAGACGCTCGGGCACAAGCCCTTCAGCAGGCTGCCGTGTCTCCCGGGCAGTGATGCTCCCAGGATTTTCATCAATGCACCTCAAGACTCAGCAGCAACCCCCTATTATTTTAATTTTGCCCCTTCTAGATTTTCCAGTGCCCTATAGTTTTGCCCCAATGGGCAACAGGGCAACGTTGCCCTAATGCCCCTATGGCAATGTTGCCAGTTCCACCAGTAAGGGGAGTTTCTACAGTGGTGCCCTACCCAGGCTTTTAATCATGCTGGCAAACGACTCTGAAAAGATTATGCTGATTTGTTTCTTTTTAAGTTTAACCATATTACAACACATAAAAATGGATGGGAAAGCCATGGTAGTTAAAGCCTTTTGCAAGTAATGCTTATTTGATTGGCCATACTAATAAATTGTAGATCATTTAAGAAGTGCAGCTTTGAATAGATTACCCAGTAGGATTAGTGCCTTTGACTTCTTCTCATCACTAACTTAATTTACGTGACCAGAATCAATCAGGGTTATGTTTTTTAAAGTAATCCTGAGCCCAGTCCCCTAAGTGCTCCATACACAGAGCTCAAGTTTATTCTAATGCCACTCTGGGCAGCGCTGCTTGCAGGATTGGGTCCTTGGCATTTGGAAGAAGAGCGTGAGGATGAAAATGCAGTGATTTAATATTTGTTGAATTTCTTCCATATATGCATATTTACTTGAATCCTCAGCTGTTGTAGTGCCATGGATTTAATTGATTTGTGCTAGCTGAGTATCATCCCAAGGCATCTGAACTCTAGGCAATACCCTTTAAATTGCTTACAGAGTAGCTAATATTGATATAAGATAATGTGGTAGAAATTAAGTGAAACTGCCACTCTTCATTGTTCTTTTTTTTCCCTAAAACTGCCATTGGAAGGGCTACCATGCTGCCAGTCTGTGACTCTGAAACTGTGGCTGGTGTCCTACAGCATCTTCTGTATTTATATCAGTCTCTCTCTTTTTTTTTCCAATGTGTCTAGATTTACACAAGCAAAAAGCTGCTCAGCGCCGACCCTAAACCCTGCTCCAAGAGCATCCACCCAACCCACCAGCTGGGTTGGTGGAAGGGGAGCGTGAATCAAATCCACGTCCTACCAGTGAGCTTTAGGTGGGAGGCAGCAGGGCGGGTGGCATGGGGCCGCAGGAGGGTGGCTGTTAAGACCCATGGGCTGTTGGGAAGGCTTATGCGTTTTAGCAGTTACTGGGTTTCCTGTTGTGGTTCTCTGTTGCCCAGAACGGTCACAGCCTCGAAGAACGCCTTCGCTGCCGTGGCTGCCCGACCTGGGTTTGAATGCAGTCAGTGCTTGAGTGCTGGCGTGGAAAAACGATTACTCTGTGCCAAAACGCAGCAGGAGTGCCCTGCTTTAGGGTGTTGGTGTAGGTAGGCTGCCCGTAGGTAGGAGAGCAACCCATACGTTGAACCACAGGGTTATCAGTGAGCTGGAATGTAGTTAAAAGTTCTTTCTTCCTTGCTTCAGATCACATGGCATTTGTGTTTTATTTCACTGCTGCAGTGTAATTTCCTTGCTCTTGAGACAGATGTAGGCAAATTTTTTCTGATGTTTTACATAGAATGTAACAGGTGAGAAATGATCTCCTGTTTTGGCATTGGTACTACGTTCAGTGTCTTGATGTTCTTCAAAATATAAGTTCATGCTGATGAAATTCAGAAAACACTATGCATGATAACATTGAAACATGTCTGACTTATCTTGCTAGACCCATTTTTTTCCTTTAAAATATTTTTTTTCCTTTTCTTTTTCTCTTTTTTTTTTTTCCAAACAGGAAGAGAAAATCCATTCAGGAGAGACTCTTCTTCATGTAAGTGTTATTTATGCTTGTTTATGAAATTACAAAAGGGTTATAAAGCTCATTAAAATGTTCAAATACTGAACATTTACCATCTGTTCATAGAAACCAAGTGTAGAGCATGTAAAAATAGGCTGTAGTTACACAGTAATAATGCTCAGCAACCGTTATCTTAAATCTACCCGTGCAGTTCTTCTGTGCATATCACTGCAGAATTTAGAAACCATTGCAAAGCACTTTTAAGCAGACATTTAAGCAGCATGCCCGTAAAGTTGGTGTGTAAATCCTGGAGGGATAATATTAAAGTGGTTTGCCCAAAGCAGAGGAGTCCCGTAAGTGAGAGCTCGTTTTAGCACCCCAGAGTCCCTGAATCCCAAACCCTGTGACAAGAGTCAGCTTCTCTGCCTTGGATCCTACAAAATCCAAGTTCTGCCTATAGAGCCATTTGTTTGCGTGCATGTGTACTAGTGTGTGCATGTATACGTGTGGGTAAGAGAGAGTGTGCATACGCGTATTTGGCCTCAAATAGCATATAGGTATTTCAGGCCTTTTCTACAACCTATGGTGATACCCATTAAAATAAGTGTAAATGCCACCAGCCATTGGTGAATACTGTTGCAAATGTTTTGTGAAAGCATTTGGCTCCAGACTGACTGCTCTGTCTGGGTGAGCCCGGTACAGTATTCTTCATGGGACCAAGAAAGCTGCACGTCATAAAAATACAAGTTTTTTCCACACCATCTAGTGACCTGGTTTGCTTGCAGATCTCAGATTTGAAAGCTCTTGAGTAGTATAGGAAGCTCTGCTCTGGTGTTTCTTCCTAGTACATAAATCTGATTAAATGTTTTAAGGGGCTGCATAGATGAAGACTCTCATTGCCTTAATGCAAAATTGGCTGAGCAAGGAAAATGACTGCATTGTTCCCAATGCAGGGCCCGCTTTGCATAACTTCCAAGCATGTACTGCGTCCAGTGGCATGGCAAGCCCACGAGCGCTCACCTCAGGCTGATTTCCCATAAGTCAGCATTTTTTTGGGGGAAAAATAACATATATCTTGGAATTGCAGCACTCCATTATGCTTGCGTAGCAACTGCTGGTTAATATGTAGCAAAACGCCGTGTGGTAACAAATGTTTTTTTGCTATTGTTGAGCTGGAATGTTAGTTCAGCTTCTAGATAAAAGTGGCTTGCGCAAGGCGCCCTGGTAGACCATGATTTCTGTGGCTTGTACGGTAGTTCTGTAGGCAACCGTGTTCTGCTCTTCCTCCCCCCTGTGCTTCCCTTCATCTTCCACGTGAGCGAGGGGTGGGCTTAGGTAAAGGCAGGGAACTGGCAGCCCTTTGCATCCCACAAAGCACCAGTGTGGGGTTTATATTAAGCCCATTGCTAGTCAAGCATCTGTTGAAAACACTCTTTATTCTGGTTGTGTTTCTAGCAGAAACGTTGTAAGACGCTTTATTTAATAGCTTTAAACCACAAGTGTTCTTTGGCTGGTTTTATGGATATCATAAGACAATCTTTCAAAAGAAAACAAAAAGCCAGTAGTTAGTGAAAGACACCCCACAAAGGATTAAAGAATCCTCCTTCCCTGCAGCTGGAATCCTGTCTTTGAGAAGGTAAATCATCATTTTTAAAAGGTAACGGAGAAGGAAAAATTCCAGAAGGCTTTTGATTATGACCATTTTCAACATTTGTAGCTCATTATTATTTCATTCTACTGTAGGAAGTTCAAACCTCTTGAAAAGCCTGTGAAGCACATGCTTCCCAGAGATTTTAAATGGGAAATAGTGCAACAAAACCACCTTTAAGGGAAGAAGCTCCCAAATAGAGAAGAACCCAAACAGACGAACCCTACAGCAGTGACTGTATGGTGTCTGGAAACTGCAGAATAAGCGTGCAACGCAGATCTGAAGAGTTTTGTCTGGAGATTTCAGTATCACAAACAAATAATGGGGAGCTTCCCAAGTCCAATACATATACTCCAAAATGAATGAGTAATGAAAAGTCTGTGGTCCAGAAGCCATTTGCGGTGCAGCCTTCCATCACCTGCTGTGGCTTTTCAACAGCTAACGGCAAGCTTTGAGCATCAGAGCCTCTCTCTTCTGGTTCTGTGCATGAAATACTACGACTTTGACTCGATAACTCTATTTGTGCCTGTCTGTGCATTGGCTCCCCTTGGCTTCTTCAACTGTGTGAGTTTCCAAAAGAGAGTTAAACTCCAGGGATGGGAATAGCAAGGCTATAGAGAAATGGCAGGATCGTGAAGCATCCAGGACAGGGACCTCTCCCAGGCCCCGTTCAGAGGGGGTTGATTCCTGTGGCGGTGAATGCTCGGTCAGGATTAACCCCTCAGGACTGTGACTTGGACCGGTCACCGTGACAGGAGGTGACCGCTTTGAGAAAGGACTCTTTGTGACAGTAACCAGCCATATGTAGTTGTAATGATAAGAAAGGGACCGTCTTATTGTAGTCACTTTGCGACAAATACTACCACAATTCATTACTTTCCATCAGTGCCTCATCCTATGGAGGAATCACCACTGCCCATCTACATTGAGGAGGGGACAGAAGTCCCGATTGGTGAGTGCAGTTGGGATGGGATATGTTTAAGGGGGGGGTATAACGGTACTTGGGTTTTATATTCCTCACGTTTGTGTGTACCCATTTGTCATTGAAAATTGTAAGGCCTGTTGCAAATGTTTTGGGATTTTTATTTTATTTTCTTAATGCAAGTGTATTTTAGAGCTCCTGAGGATTGTTAAATACTGCTAGTGTTGGTTTTCAGCTAATCGTAAATCAAAGTACAAAATTTATGCAGTGACATTAAAAGCTTCTGTGCAGGATCTCTTAACACAAGGCTGGGGAAGACCACGAGTATCACAAGAGGTAGTTCCCACTTCAGCCTTTGACCTTGGTGTTGAGATACTCAGAATAATCTGCCGGTTGGGTCAGCAGTTTTTGTTCTGCTGACACTGTCCTGCCCGGCACCCAGCAGACTCACATTGCGCACACCACTGAATAGCCAGAAGAGAGTTAGAGAGGTTTGCCATTATAGAGAGGTTTGCCATTACCTGCGTTGCACATCGGAGTGCTGCACACCCCCATTTCTGGTGTGGATGTATTGTCACTACATGGATATAGGTTTGGGTGTTGGGCTTTTTTGAATAGAGGAGCAGTCTTTCAGATAACCCATAAGGAAAGAGACTAAAAGATCGATAAGTTGGACTGCGGTGATCTCTTTGGACTGTAAAAAGCTGTGACTGCAGCATTTCCCAGAGCCCTTTCCTTATTCAACCTGTTCTTGGTTGCATACAGTAAGTGTGCCGTGGCTACCACCTTAGGAGTCTGCCCTGTTGAGCAGATGTGTCTCTTCAAATAACTTTTTCTTATTATATATCCTGAATTTTTCCATTCCTAAATTCAAGCAATTGCTTCTTGTCCTACTATCTTTTGAGCTAGATTAATTACCTTCCTCTACACACAGTACCTTGAAGGTATTTATAGCTGGATCTCAGCCCAGGAGTCTTCTCATGTATAGACCATATTAATTTAACTCTCTTACTCTCTCCTTAGATCATTTTTATTGTCCTTATTTGTATTTCCTTTAATTTTTCTATCTCCTTTCTAATCTGTGGAGACTTGAACAGCTCATACTATATCCACTGTGGTTGTTTTGACATAGCACTGTGCTTTAGATTTCCATATCATCTCCTCATATGTATACATCCAGAAATAGCTTAGCCTTTGACCCTTCTCCTGCATCACTCAGCAGCATCACACAGAGAAACTCTGTTACTTGGCTAATCTTACCATTAGGTCTTTCTTGGATTCACAGCTTTGCAGCGAGCTGCTCCTCAGGCACTGTCACTGCTCTCCTGAGATGTAGGGCTTTATACTTCCTAGCACTAAATCCCCATCCCATTGCATGCCGCTTACTTATTTTACCCAGGAATGATTTAAGACAGTATGCTTATGTATTTATTTTAATGCCCTGGGGTTTTATCATTTACATAGAAGTTGTTACTGTTTTATCATATATAGAGCAAAGAAGTACTTACAATTTTGTATTTTGATGCCTATTACAACTGTCTTCTGCACATTACTCCAGACTCCTTTCCCAGCTCCATCATTCTTGTTTGCATACCTTCCCTAACTTTTCCTTCCTCTAGTTATGAAAGTTCATAATGTAAAAACTGTCAGGTTTAGCCTTCTCCTTGTCTTCATTTTGTACCTTTTCTCATTACACGGTTAGTATATTATTGTTGCTGTATCTCTTCTATGCATGGCATGATGTGATCTTTCCCACAGCAGATCATCTTTTCCTCACCTCTTCTGGGGTTGTAGTCAGCTGAACGTCTGCTCAACGTCAGTCCGCTCTTGTAGAACCATTAAGGCTAAGTTCTGTCGTGGCCCCTGGTATTTCATCTTGTCTTTCCCATTGCACTGAGGAAACCTGAACTGCCAGGATGGTGGTACCCGCACCAAGAAAAATACTGTAAGGCTGATGAATCACAAAACTGACCAAACAAAAAAAAAAAAAACAATCTGTGAGTGAAAATCTTTTTAGAGGATGTTTGTTTGGTGCTGTCATGAAGCAGGTTTGTTGGATCAGGCTCTGAAATGCAGCAGTAGCTGTAAAATGGCCAAACTGGGTTGGGGAGGGCATTGTGTTTACTTATTTTAAATAAGTATCTGAACTGTCAATACAGCAAGCTGTGGTTGAGGGGGAATGAGTGGAAAAAGTAAATGATGGCAGATGAGAGCAAATCACAAGCTCCGAGTTTGGTATTTGAATGCCTGACATGGGTCAGGGCTTTTATAATAGTTGGATGCAGTATAAATCATCAAGCCAGGAAGTCAGCTGCAAAAATCTGGTCTGGGTCTGGGTCTCAGTTTTGGTCCTACTTTTGATTGAGCTTACCAGCGAGATCCAGATCCAGGGTGCCCATTTGCAGCTGTATAGACCAGAATAGGAATAAAAAGAAGTCCTTTCTGAGTTTAGGCTGGGGAAGAATAACACACAGTGTAGTTGTTGAAACAATTCAGCACAACTATCATTTACTTTTAAAAGATTGTTTGGAGAACTTAGATTATTTCCTCATCCAAAACACATTTTGGATAGTATATGGAGCGCATACTGTTCTGGCCCAAGCCTGAGTGGTGGTGGTAGATCGCTTTGTAGCTTCCGTATTTATTAAAAAAAATAGAGAAATCAGTAGGTTCTTTCAGAGTCTAAATTTAACAACCCTAATTATTTCAAGCAATTTAAAAAGGTACATAAATCTCACTTGTTTATTACAGCTGCTTCATGAAAACAGCAGCTACAAATAATACCCTATAAAGAACATCTAGCTAACACTGTCATGAATTAACCAACAAGAGAATGAGTGTATGGGATCTGGACAAAGGCAGCATTTCCTTCTCTGGAGGGAGGGTCTTTGCATTGAGGAGAAGGTGGTTATTAGCTAAACACTGGTTTTATCTCCTTGGATGAAATGAAGACTTTGACATTTCTGCATAGATGAATACCACTTTTGATTGGAAAAAGGTCTAAGCTATACTTAATTTTTATGTACTTCTGCACTTTCTCGAGTACATTCCTCGAGGAAGATAGGTAATTGGGATGCCACAAACGTGTTAATAAATCAAAGATATTTCTGAGGAGCTGGAGAATATTTTGTGAGCAGTAGCAAAGACTCTAGAGAATAACAGTAAAAGAGCACAGGTCGGACACTGGCAGTCTTAATTCAGGCACAATTTCAACTGTCTTCCACACAATTAAACAGTTCAGGAGATTGAAGGTGAGGAAATAGGCAGAGCAGGTCGTTATTCAGCATTGCCGTTCGTGCTAAGGTCATGGCCATATTCCCCGGTCACCGTTTGGAACCTGTTGTGTTAAGCACTGAAGAAAACACCTGAGGCCACACAGTTCAAATTTACATTTTATAAAGCAAAAACCCAGGAACAAAATATTTGTATTGGCAGTCATTGTATTTGGCCTGTACAGCACATCACTGAGGGAATAATTGCCTCCTCCGGGATCAGAGAGCAATAGAGCTGTGGGCTGAGAGGTTTATTTATGTTTTTCCTTCCAAGTCACATTTTGAGACACTAGTGTTGTTTTAATACCTGTGAAATTAGCTGCAAAGACATACAAATTCAGGATCTAATTCTCAGCTGATTTACTCCAGCATAGCTTTGTTGATTCCAGTAGCATTGCTATTGCGTTATCATTGTATAAACAGGATCAAAGTCAGACCCCCTTTTTCAGGAGTCAGTCCTGCTAACCTTGAAACCTGTGGCACTTCTGCTGTAACTCTGAATCCCTATGTGGGCAAAACCCCCGTGGTCCACTTCTATCTTACTGATCCACTTTTTGCTAAAGAATAGCACTGGCTTCAGTAGACTTATTTCAAATGTATACAAGTGTTATGTAGACCTTGTCTATATAGGATCCCCCCCCCCATTAAATCATCTTGGTATGATGGAAAGCTCCATTAGCACTCTGAAGCCATATTGTCTTCATCATACTCATAAGTCATGGTGTAGCCCGGGCTCATTTGAGTCATCTTAATTACAGGAGAAGAATTTTCTTGTAATTGCACACAGGTTCTTCTGCCACTGCTCGATCCCTGCTTTTAAGCATCTCTGATGCCTTATTAATAATAAAAACTGGATTTCCAGTCTACTCCTGCTCTTGGGCAGACTCACTGAAAGACAGATGCTTTGTTGGGTTTTTTTTTTCCTCCTTCGATAAGAGAGTTAGAGCTGTTTTTTAAGCGGGGTAAGCATAGGAAGTGCACCTTTCCCAGGCAGGAAGAGTATTTGGCACCTTATAGAGAGCTGGCTCTGTGTCTCTCTAGGAGGTTGCCTTCCCTCATAAGAGAAGAGAACCATTTCTGTCATATGCGCTTCAGGGTTTGCTCTTTCATGGGGTGCTGGCACACAGAAAGCTTGATTTTTGCCAGGTACTGAGTGCCTTCTGCGAGGTATTGAGTGCCCTCCTATCCTTTGCAGCCAAAAAGGAGTTGATTGCTCTTGGCATCAGGCAAATCTGGACCCAGAAGACCACAGGTAGTATTTACCAATTATTTATGTGCTTTCGCATGCCAGAGATTGTCTGAATTGATTTCCCTAGCATACAAGGGATTTCAGGCGTTAATGACACTTGTCTGCCACTAAAAACCATTATTATTTTTTAAAAATAATAACAATACAATAATAAGCATGACATTTATTGCATTGCCACAGGGAAATTAAAAACCCCCAAAATTAACTACAGTCCAAGTAACTATTAGCTCTTTAGAGCTATTGCAAATGTGTGAGTTATATACCCTGAATGAGCACCATATGCCAATTTATTGTGGCTCAGTGAGTCACAGGACACATTGTGGAAAGCAATAATTGCTTGGCATGCATTGTAACATTCAGTGTTTTTTTTTTTTAATTTTCTTAAAAGAATATGTTTTTACTCTGACAGTGTAAAATGAGTATCGTCTGATATGCTGCCACCAGGGACTGTTACTTATTTTGCACTTAACCTGGAGCTTACCCATTTGTCACTCGCCGCACACACCCTCTGTATCTTTTCCTTTCCAACTGCTGTATTGTATGCGTGCAGTATCAGAATATGAGGATTGAGCCTTCCATTCAGTATTGTGTTGTCATTTTGTGTTAATCCTCTTATCCCTTTTCCTCCTCACCTTCTTTCTTTGTCCGATAGGGAAATTCAGATTGGTTACAAGGAAAAATTGTTCACCCTGAGAGGAGTGAAGCAGAGGGACAGGTTGTTCCGAGATTGTACAGTCTTGGAGGTTTTCAGAGCTTGACCAGATAAGGCCATCGGCAACGTAGCCTGATTTTGATGTTGGCCCTTCTTTGAGCAAGAGGTTGGGCTACGTGACCTCCAGAAGTCCCTTCTAACCTAAATTATTTTATGGTTCTGTTTAATACCCAGTTCCTGTTCTGATTCAGCTGTGGTGCTATGTGTGTCATTAACTCCTCACTCCCCATTGGAGTCATTCTCTTTCATACCAGCATAAAACAGGAGCGACCTCCTGAAGGTCAGTGGAGTTACAGTGGTTTTACTCACGTGGGATCGAAATCAAGATGTAAATGGTAACCTCAGATGAGATTAGTAGGTGAAATTTGGGTATCTCTGAAATTAGTTGGAATTTTTACCAGGATTTCACTTGAGATCTCTTCAGATCTTCATTAAGTGCCAATTGAAGTTATCAGTTGAAGAGTTTGATGCATAATTATATCAGGATGATAAGTATTTAAAAAGTAAAGATCGCTTTTTTCCCCTTTCAGTTACAAATCCCATACTCTAGCAGCCTTGAAGAGAGCTTTGGGGTATTTAGGATTTAGCGAGTCACCAACTGCCCTCGCTCTGCCATTACGTGCTGGTTTCCTCATGAGGCTCTAACCACATGAGGGAGTTAATGCTGCACAGAGCATCTACTCCCAGCCAAATGCCTTAAGTTTCTTCACCAAAAAGGTTGTCAAGCATTGGAACAGGCTGCCCAGGGAAGCGGTTGAGTCACCATCCCTGGAGGTGTTTAAAAGACGTGTAGATGTGGTGCTTAGGGACATGGTTTAGTGGTGGACTTGGCAGTGTTAGGTTAACGGTTGGACTTGATGATCTTAAAGGTCTTTTCCTACCTAAATGATTCTATGATTCTATGATATGCTAGCCAAAAAATGCTCTTGGTCAGAATAATGTTATTTTAATTGTGCCGAAAGAAAGCAAAACCACACTCAGATTCACCATATCAGTCTAGGGAATTTTCAACGATGATCTAGCTATTATAGAGAAAAAAAGAAAAGAAACTCCCAATTGCTAGGAAAAAGAAATACAGGCATAGTTTTATAGGGTTGCTCTTTCAACTCTGCCAAGATAAGGTGATTTTTCTCCATATCTCTCCTTTATCAGCAATAAGTATATTGCTTATGCAAACACATTATTTCCCATCAGGCTCTGTCAAAAATAAAGGTTACAAATGGGGCTACCGTAGTGGATTGAGGAAAGACTAAATATGAGCAACCGAAAGCCTTTTTTTGTCCCTTTTTATGCAAGGCAGGATTCTAAAATCAAGATTTAACAGGACAGACTTGCTTTCATATACTTTTTCTAGTGACTGCTGCCCTCCCTCTTCTGTAACCACATCAATTCTCTCTCCTCATACAGATCCTCCTTAAATGATGTAGAGGGTTGATCTTTCAAATGTGAAAAAGGTGTCGTGCCATGTAGAGGGAATATAGTAGCAGAAGATACTGTTGCTTAGTAGGGTTGAAGGTCCCTTCTGCTCCACTCTTCCTGCAGTACACAAGCTATAGATTACAAGTCACATTTAATAGACAGATAATATTCACGTGAGGAATTTAAAGCAATACATCTGACTTTGAATCACCTAGGTTTCTCCTTCTGCAAAACTATCAGAAGGTCATGTAGCTCTTGTATGCAGGTCACCTCCTCACAAAAATCCAGAAAAGTAAACCAAAGGAAGTTCTCTCGCTTTCTAACATTAGTTTACATATGGAGTGTTTTTATGGCTATATCTCAGCTGTTTGTCACGTACCCATCATTTATGGTAGAACTGCAAACAGTTTCCCACCTGTCCGTAATTAGCTTTTGCACACACACAAAAAAAAGAAAAACAATTGTAGTCATGATGAAAACAGCTTTGGATATTAAAGGTTAATGTGCCACATTGGTATCTAGTGTAAGTGTGTTCGCTTAGATGAAATTGCACTAAGAAAGATCCTCAACTGTTCAGCTTTATGAACTGCGCCTCTGAACTGGTCAACAGGAGTAGGTTAAGTTTACAGCAGTCAAGCTAGGACTATAAAAGCAACCTGCAACGAAAACCACCAGCTGGCATTTGTTTGAAAAGAAAAGAGATGGAGAAGAATACTCAGGCTGTTCATATATTGTCATGCTATACTTGGGGATGCTTACCTGCAAAAGCCAACAGAAAAGCAAGTACCTGTAGCCTGCGGGATTGACACTGGTATAAAGGTAGGATTGCAGGTACTTGTTTCTTGTACTGGAGTCAGCCTTGCTCTTACGAAATTCCCTTCGGAGACAGCGATTCCAGAGTGAATTCGGTGGGGCTTTTGTCCAAGTAGTGTGTGGGATCAGGGTTTTGTTTGTGCTTGGTGTGTGCTCTGCACTTTGCAGACCGTGGTATGCCGAAGTGGTTTATATGTTAGTTTCCTTGGAGAAGTGAAGTATTTGTTCTGGCGCCATTTCGTTTTCATATCTCTTGACATAAAAATGAGTGCAGCTCTCGGTATGTGAAAGCTGACGTCAGAGGTCCGTGGCGAAAGCAAACTGAAAATACACTTCTGACTGGGAATCGGCCTTAATCATGTGATGTTTAAAAGCATGTTGGTTTAGTGGTCAATACCAAAGGTTTTACTTCCAACTCAGACCTTCAAAACAGATGGGTAGCGATCAAAAATTTGTGATTTTTTGATCAAATAACGCCCATTGAGAGGCCTGTAGGACGTAGCAGTATTCCTTCTGAAATGTCCTCCAGGAGCACGGTGAGTGGCTCCGGCCAGCCGTGGAAGCTCAGAGGACGGAGCTGCAGCTGGAGACCGAGCCAAGGCTGTTCTTGGATTGAACAAAAAATGCCAGTGTCCAAGGCATGCAAGCCAGCACCTGGCACCAGCTGCATGAAAGCAAATAAATACCATACTGTCTACACAGCTTCGCTTTTTTTTTGTGTGTGTGAAAGTCTACAGTTCACCGACCTGTTTTGCAAAGTTGTGCTCTCTGTGAGCTTGTTCATCAGCTTTGCCACTTCTTCTTTTAGCATATCCTCTGCAGAAACCCCCCGCGCTCTCTTTCGCTCTGCCTTATCAGTAGTTTCGATTTCATTTCCTGTGTGAAACTTCATATGCTTGAAGTTTCTGTTCCATTTTTTTTCTTGAAGGAAAGAAAACAACAACAGTAAATTAAACCTCAGGGTGCTTAGGAAATCTCTGATGGCTGAAGGCCTGTGAGCAGTGGTGCCCTGGCCGAGCACTATAGTCACCCGAGTACCGCGGTGCAGCGGCAAGGGTCGCTGCTCCACCTTAGCTCCACGTCTTAAAAACCTACAGCTCATTTCCATCACTGATTCATATTTTCGCTGATAATTACTGTCAGCATGAAGGAGAAGTCAAGACTGAAATCAAAAGTAGCTTACTCTTATCATTAAGTATAGAGCTCATGGCTCTGTCCTCACGGCTTCATAACCTTCTCAGACTTTATAGCCCTGTACTGGGGCTCACACTGCTGATCGCGTGCATGTAATAGCTGTTTTCCTGGTACAAGCTGGCTGGCCGTTTTCCACCCATGGTGCCGTGTTGCACAGCTCTTCCTTCCATTAATGTATTCTAGAAAAAAAAAAAAGCAGGTGTTACACAGATGGGGCACAGGAACAAAGAAGAAGAAAGAGGATTGTTCTCCGCCACCGATGGTGTTGGGATCTAGATTTGTGGGAATAAGGTACCGTATGACATGTTTAAACAGCTGCCACAGGTGGGATAGAAATCTGTCCTCAGTTATTGTTTAAATTAAAATGAATGGATAGAAGCAATAAAAATACAACCCCAGCTTTGTGTGGAGGTGGCCTAGGCAGGTATGGCAACAGCCTGGTTACGAAGCTGATCAAAGCCATTGGTGGGTATGGAAGACTCCACTTGTTTTTCCAAAAACATGTAATCTTATACATATATCTGGTTTTTTCCTAGTTGGAAAACATACTGAAAAAGTACAAGAGTCTTCAATTAAGAGAAAGCCCTGAACACTAGCATTGGTAAACTCAGTAAATTTAAGACTAAATTTAGAATTAGTTGAAAAAACAGATGAGGGTGGAACGATTTATCCCCAAGAAAAAATTACTTTGAAATAATGAATTCATACATTTTATTGCACATTTGCTTCACTAAATGGCTACTTTATCGTTTCTTTTCCCTGCACTGGGGCACTGCTCGGTTATCGTAGCATGGAGATTGCTGTCTGACATTAACATGCGTTGTAAGTGCCTTGCACATGTGTCACACAGAATCTATAAGTTCTT